GATCCCGCGGTAAGTGACTAGGTACCCTAGAAATTCTCCGGATGCGACGGCAAACCGACACTTCGCCGGGTTCAACTTCATGTCATGAAGATTGAGCCTTTCGAAACATTCTTGGAGGTGTACGACGTGGTCTTGCTCTTCAAGGGATTTCACGAGCATATCGTCGATGTACACTTCCATTGTTTTTCCGAGTTTCTCGGAGAACATTCGATTGACAAGTCGTTGGTAAGTCGCACCGGCGTTCTTTAGACCGAAAGGCATCACTTTATAGCAATAGGTTCCCCGGTCGGCTATGAATGCGGTTTTCTACCGATCGCCAGGATTCATCATGATCTGATTGTATCCTGAGAAGGCGTCCATGAAGGAAAAGAGTTTGTTTGCCGCGGTTTCCTTGACTAAGCGATCAATATGCGGCAGCGGATAACTATCCTTTGGACATGCTTTATTGAGATCGGTAAAATCGACGCAAACTCGCCACTTTCCATTCTTTTTCTTTACGACAACGTGATTGGCGAGCCAATCGGGATATCGAACTTCCGTGATCGATCCTACTTTGAGAAGTCTATCGACTTCACTGTTGACCGCTTCGGCGCGTTCTTGCCCCAGTTTTTGTCTTTTTTGTTTGACGGGTTTGGATGTTGGGTCAACGTTAAGTTCGTGACATGTGATTTTTATGTCGATCCCCGGTATATCTTCCGCAGTCCAAGCTAACATGTTCGAGTTTCGCTTCAGACATGTCAGGAGTTCGACTTTTAAGGTCTCGCTCAGGTTCGCACCGATTTCGACGCAGCGTTCTGGAAAATTCTCGTCGATGCACACTGAGATGACGGGTTTGCAGGTTGGCTCGCGTTTACCTTCCAAAGCCTCGGCCGCTCGCAACTGCCAGAAGAGTTCCGTTTTATCTTGCTCTGGGGCGTTGTCGAGGGACGTCGACTTCTTTTTCTTTTTGGAAGAGATATCGACCGACAGATTTTTTTGTTTTAAATCCGCGGCGTAGCAAACTTGCGAGGTCCTCCGATTTCCCCATATAGTCTCGATCCCGCACGGAGTCAGAAATTGAGACACATATGATACGTCGACGGAATCGCTTGTATCGAATTTAACCAAGGTGTCCCTACGATTGCGTTGTAAAACATAGGTCGGTCGGTCGAGGACTTCGAATTCGACGTTTTTCACTATGCTCCCGGCGCGAACCTTTAGGTTGATCGTTCCGAGGGTCATGGTGGTTTCTCCCGAGAGTCCTACTAGCGGGCTTACGTTTTCCGCGATTTCAGACAAGTCGATTTTCATTCTTTCGAGAGTATTTTTGAAGATGATATCAGCCGAGCTTCCGGTATCGACTAATATCCTCGCGACATCCATATTCTGGATCGTCAGCTCAATAACAAGAAGATCGTTGAGAGGTTTGATCGAATCGATCGTTGCTCTTTTCTCGAATGAGATGACGTCGCCGTTCAGGTTAGGCATGTTATTTCTCATTCGTTTTAGTGACTATTGTGTAAGAGAATCCGACCCTCCTCCTTCTAGCGCGAAACTGTGCGAACCAAAATCCACACAGTCGATTTTCCGTCAAATATGGAAACTTAGGATGAAATCCTAATTTTCCCGAGGTCCTGGATCTCTGCGGAAATCACTAAAACAAACGAATTTAACCGGATATGGATGAGCAATGAAGAACAGAGAATAAAGAATTTGTTTGAAAGCTTTTATTAAATAAGAAATCGACAACTGTTACAAGAAGAATTAAAGAACTTAGGCGTCGAAACGTTCTAAGGATCTGGATTGCTAGTCTAAACGCTAAGTCCTAAATTCCTAAGCTAACAGCCGTCTTTTAAGGTCTAATTTTGTCCTCTTCCTCTTCCCTATGCTTCTGGCTTATATACTCCTTTCCCAAGCGACTCAATCTTTCCATTTTGCCCGGATTTGAGTTTAGCGGGAAACTTCCTTTTATCTCCATCCTTCCTTTCTTCCCGCGGAAATCTTCTATTTATCTTCAAACTTGGCTTTTATTCCCTTCTGCGAATAAACCGTCAAAAAGTTATTGTATCTTCGGGTTTGATTTCGTTAATATCGCGAGATGGGTTTTTATCGTGTTTTAAGACCTTTCGGGCCGTTTTACAATTCTATACGAGATCGTTTCCCGATCCGATGCCGTTTTTTACGATTTTCTCGACGTTTTTTATTAAAAACGCGTTTTTTATGATCTTATCGAAAAAATCTCGGATACATCGTATACTTTAGGTGATGTTTGGTGTCTTGCTTAACCGTTACCGTTTTATACGATTTCTTCGAGTTCTTTCGAGAAAGCGGAGTTTTACGGTTTTTACCGTAAAACTCGAACGATAAGTCGGATCGAGACGAAACGAGAGACATTTCGGCCGTGGTTCAGAATGCAACCATGTCCAAGGGCGTAAGTTTCGAATCGGGGATGCGGGAGATCGAGGCTCGGGATGATCGGTTCAGCGTGCGGAGAATCAGGTCGGTCCGGTCCAGCAGTCCAAGGAGTTTCTAGTTCGCCTGCTGGCAAACTAAGCCAGCTCGGCTTAGTTCGCCAGCAGGCGAACTAGTCGAGAGGCTCCTAGTTCGCCTGCTGGCGAACTAGTCGAGAGACTCTTAGTTCGCCAGCAGGCGAACTAGTGGAGAGGCTCCTAGTTCGCCTGCAGGCGAACTAGTCGTGACTAGTTCGCGTTTTGCGGCGGTTTCGGTTTTTTGCGATTTTGTAAAACGATTCTCGAGTTTTATAAAACGATTCTCGAGTTTTATAAAACGATTCTCGAGTTTTATAAAATAGTTCTCGAGTTTTATAAAACGGCTCTTCGAGTTTTTATAAAATAACTGTCAAGTTTTATAAAACGATTCTCGAGTTTTATAAAACGATTCTCGAGTTTTATAAAACAATTCTCGAGTTTTATAAAACGGTTCTCGAGTTTTATAAAACAGTTCTCGAGTTTTATAAAATGGTTCTTCGAGTTTTTATAAAACGACCGTCAAGTTTTATAAAACGATTCTCGAGTTTTATAAAACGATTCTTGAGTTTTATAAAACGATTCTCGATTTTTATAAAACAGTTCTCGAGTTTTATGAAACGATTCTTCGAGTTTTTATAAAACGATCGTCGAGCTTTATAAAACGATTCTTGAGTTTTATAAAACGATTCTCGAGTTTTATAAAACGATCTTCGAGTTTTATAAAACGATTTTTGTGGAAAGTTATGATTCCATTCTTACAGAAGTCATCGTAGACGTTGATTTCGAGATTACGGTTTTCGACACCAACAGATTTCAGGTTCTCCGGAGGGAGGTTGGAGATCGGGGCGTGCCTCTGGCATTGATCGCAGGGCCTAGCTTTTCTAAGGGCGTCATTGGCCATCGTGGGCCAGTATTAGCGAGCTCTTCTGGCTCAGAGCACTAGGCTTTGGCTGCTGGAGTGGGAGCCACATTCTCCTTCATGGAGCTCTTCTAGGACCCGGGCCGCTTCCCTGGGGGTAAGACATCGCAGGTATGGTCCTGAAGAGGACCTTCGGTTCACTACCTCAGTTTGGCCATCAGTTTGAGGATGACAAGTTGTCGAGAAGACTAATTTGGTGCCAAGCTTTTTGCATAGAGTTCTCCAGAAATGGCTGAGGAACTTGGTGTCACGATCAGAGACAATGGTTCTAGGCACACCGTGTAGACGGACCACTTCTTTGAAGAACAAATCAGCTGTCTTGCTGGCATCATTGGCCATCTTTGAAAACTTGTCCACTACAACAAAGATGGAGTCTTTGTGTTCGATCTTGGGCAAGCCCATCACAAAGTCCATAGATAGGTCTACCCAAGAGGCGTTAGGAATAGGTAAAGGCATATGTAAACCGTGAGGATGTGACCTGGACTTGGCTTTCATGCAAACATTGCACTTGGAACAGAGGTTTTTCACATATTGTCTCATCCGCGGTCAGTAGAAGTGCTCAGTCAAGACGTCTAAAGTCTTGATCCGGCCAAAGTGTCCCATGAGACCTCCTCTGTGGGCCTATCTGGTCAGTAGATCCCTCATGGATCCTTGTGGGATGCAAAGACGTTTTTCCTTGAACAGAAATCCATCATGCTGATAAAAGGGGCCGACTGCTCCTTTGGTGGTACTGCTAAACAATTCAGAAAAATCAGGGTCAGTAGTATAAGCATTTTTATTATGTTCAAAACCCATGATCTTAGCCTCCATAGTGGTGATGAGAGTGTGTCGCCTTGATAAGGCATCATCTACCACATTGTCTTTCCCTTTCTTGTACTTGATGACATAGGGAAATGTCTCCACAAACTCCAACCATCTAGCATGCCTCTTCTTGAGTGTTGTTTTGCCTCTCAAATGTTTAAGGGTCTCATGATCTGTATGAATAACAAACTCCTTAGACAAAAGATAATGTTGCCAAGTTTCAAGAGATCTTACTAGACCATATTTCTCTTTGTCATAGGTTGGATAATTGAGTGTCGGCCCACTCAATTTCTCACTGAAATAGGACACTGGCCGACCTCCTTGTGTAAGCACAGCACCTATACATGTACCTGAAGCATCACACTCAATCTCAAAAGTTTTATCAAAATTAGGAAGAGTAAGGACTGGTGTATGGGTCAAGCTATGCTTTAATTTGTTAAAGGATTCTTCTTGGGCTGGTCCCCAAGTAAAGGACACATTCTTCTTGATCACTGAGGTCATTGGGGCTGCTATGGTACTAAAGTCCTTGATACACCGCCTATAGAAGCTTGCTAATCCATGGAAACTCCGGACATGGCCGATTGTGGTTGTGGGCCAGTCTTTAATCGCCTTGATCTTCTCCTTATCAACTTTAAGACCCTGTGAACTCACAACAAATCCTAAAAATACCAATTGATCAGTGCAAAATATGCATTTTTAGATTAGCATAAAGGCCTTCTCTTTCCCAGCTGAATCCTCCGGCTTGGCGTATCCTTATTGCCATTCAAAAATTAAGTGACGTGGAATGCCTTCCCCTGGGCGTCGATGAGGTGATGTTTGCTTATCATCTTGCTCCGATCAATGGCGGGGAGGATCGCTTACACCTTCGGCCTCGCAACGGCCTTCCTATTGTTGAGGAACTTCCGAAAAATGATCGCAAGGGTTTGTCTTTCTTGAAGAGGTGGCAGGAGAGATACGCGTTCATGACTCTTCCCGGTTCCCGCTATCAATGGAACCTCGTAGGTAAGAGGAGTTGATACCTTGGAGCGATGATAGGATTTACTTGACTGATTTTCCTCCCTGTGATATTTTGCAGGTGGGACTCACCCGGCCCGTGCGGGCGGAGAAGCCAATGTTCTCTGGACCGGCATCCTTCCCCTTGTGCAGCGTCAGGTGGCCCCTTGTGCAGCGTCAGGGTGGACTCACCCGACGGCCTTTAACATGGCGAATGAGGCCATTTCGGCGAGGAAGGTTGCCGTTGCCTCAGCCGCTTCGGGGGATGACGTTATAATAACTGGGAGTAGCCGCAAGATGGTGATCAAAAGCGAGGCTCTTTCTTCTTCTCAGGGGAGAAGGTTGAGGGGTAGGATGACCGCTCGGTTGTCTCCGCGAGCTTTTCATACTGAACACGCGGCTGGGGGTTTGTCTGAGGTTCTCAGGGATCTAAATGCTAGGGTGTTCTTGCAGGAGAATACCATTCTTTCGGGTGGAGATCCCGCTGAGATGACCCTAATGCTTCAGTAGAAACTTCTTCATGTAAGGCCAAGATTCTTGCTCTCGTTTCAGCCTTGCTATCGTGAATCTGACGGGGTGACCTTTCGCACAGGTCATTTATCTATTGCATCAATTGGGAGCTCTATTGTCGGAGGAGGATGTGTCCTTAATCAAGTAGGAAGCAAAGGGGTTGTCCCGAGTCTCCCAACAATTATCTGAGGAGAAAAGCATGAGGGTTGCTCAAGGAATGGACCTGTGTGATCTTCAGGCCAAGATCAAGACGATTGAAGGAGTGGTGGAAACCTCTTCGTCAGAAGCTTTGGCGCAAAGCCGTAGGAATCAAGAATTGGAAGAGGTTTTGGAGAACTTAAGAGCCGAGGTGAAGACCTCCGAGGACGTGAAAGTGATGGCTGTAAACGGGGGAAAGATCACCTCTCGATAGGAAGTGATGCGTGATTAGCTCGCTGGGTGGGCTCATAGCTAGGACTTGGCCAGGGAGTTTGATCGGTACAAGGCCATGGTTCTTGCCGAGGCAAAGTTTAAAGGCGTGGATCCTCCCTCCTTTTCCGATGAACCAACCATTCCTCCATCCTCTGGCTCTGGCAGACAATGAATTTATGTTTTTAAGATCTTGCATGTCTTTGCTTCATTGTTTTTTGTTTTACTGTCTTAATTTCTTCGAGTCCTGATTCATGTTGCTTTTGTGCACTTCGCTTTTTAGCAACGAAGTTTCTTTTCACGTGTGTGTTTGCCTGAAGGTTAAGACCTTGTTGAATTGACTAGCATGTTGGGGATGAATTGTTAGAATCGTACTTTCCAATGCTTAGGACCCAGGGGTCTCAGGGGATTTCCAGAACTTTGCTTAGATTTTTGAGATATTTGGTTGGACCCTGCATTATGGAGACAGAAGGGTCCTTCGCGGAAGTGGGAACTCGTAGCTCCAGGTTTATTGGCTCGTGGCCTAGGCTTGGAGATTTTGATTGAGCCCGAAGACTAAGCATTTTAGCTTGAAGGTTTAGGGCCCTGAGGTCTCTTAGCTGAGCCCGGGGGTTGGAAGTGTAAAATTCAGGATTTTGAACACTGGGAACTCGGAAGTTCATATTTTAACCGTGAGGTTAAGTATTGGACTTTAGCAGTTCAAGTCTGTTCTTGGGACCCTGGGGTCTTTCCTGTATCACAGGGGAAATTGCTCAGAACCCTAAGGTTTGCGAATAGATTTTAAGGTGATTGGCCTGGGCCCCAAGCGAGTAGACAACAGATGTAAAATTCGGGATTTTGAGTATCGGGGACCTTGGGGTCGGACCCTGAGGCCATTATCTCTGAGATCGTATTCTGTATCCCTTAGGTATGCCACTACCGATCTTAGGTGAGAATGTAAAATTAAGAATTTTGAACATTTGGGGCCCGCAGGCTTGTTGTCATCGGGATCGTATTCTGCCCCCCTTAGGTGGGCCACTACCGATCTCGGATAAGGATTCGCATTCTGCTAATTAGGCCACTATCGAGATCATGTAATGCTGCACTCTGCTTTCTGCACAAAGCCACTCTCAGCCTTACATGTTTGTGCTGGGGTAGGTCTATTGGGAAGTAGTGAGCCACGTACCAGACTTGCTACTTTCCACGTCTGGATAAGTAGGATAGAATTGCTCCCGGGGTTTTATGCACTGTCTGCTCCCTGAAACCATGGGGCTGATCTCAGCACTCTGTAGATATACGTCATGCCCCCTGCATCTCGTTTAGCTCGGGGCGTGTTTGATGCAGGGATTAATGCACTAGTACGTGTGGCCCCCTTGTAGACTACGGCTCAAGGCCTCTAAACAGAGGCGGAGGTATTGTCGACATTGTATTAAGGTTGATCAAGCCTATTCCAATTCGCATACCCAAGTGTTCTTATATGTGAAACATGTCTTGTAGATGGGAGGTGTCCATTGGGACCTGGTCCCGCTTGGTGGTTTTGTATGTGAGTCATTTCACGTAGATGTAAGGTTCACCAGGATCGAGGTTCCCCTAGGGGTCTGATCCAGTTAGTATGCCCCTTTTAAGTTTGGTGGAATTCGTGTGACTCCTTTAGTCGGAACTAAAATATGCTATATAGTCTTAGTCCGTATACGTTTTTAGCATACATAGGAGCAGGAAACCAGTGTACTTAAAATCTATAGATAGGTAGGTATCTGTAGAAACCTGATCCGGAGATCTAATTAGAAATGGTAGAGCTTGTGGTGCAGGGCGTTCCAGCAGTTAGATTGGACCTTTCCTTTGCTGTCTTGCAGCTTGTAGGCTCCTGCCCTCTGCACTCCAATTATTTTCTATGGGCCTTTCCAACCTGGGGCCAGCTTCCCTGCAGACTTGTCTTTAGTATGGTCGCAGACTCGTGCAGGACCCAGTCCCCTTGCTGGAAGGTTCTGGTCCTGACTTTCTTATTGTAGCTCATGGCCACTTTCTGTTGATAGAAAATGTTCCTTAGGCGGGCAGCCTCTCTCCTTTCGTCGAGTAGATCCAGGCTTAGGGTCAACAATTCATTCTTTTCCTCCTAGGAGATAGGTTCGGAGACAGTCGTTCTGATGTGTACCTCCGTGGGTATCACGGATTCCATGCCGTAGACTAGTGAGAATGGAGTCTCTTGCGTGGCTGTTTTTGGAGTGGTCCGATAAGCCCAGAGGACTCCGTGTAACTCTTCTGCCCAGCTTTCTCCAGGCGTTTCTTAATCATGTTGACCATGGTTTTGTTTGTAGATTTGGCCTGGCCATTTGACTGTGGGTGCCGCGGTGCAGAGAAGGAGAGCTTAATGTTCCACTCTTGGCAGAATTCTCTGAAGTCGTGGCTCGTGAACTGGGGCCCGTTGTCTGTGCCAATCTCTTGGGGCGTGCCGAAGCGGGTTATCACATTTTTCCATATGAACTTATTTATTTTCTCTGTAGTAATCGTGGCTAGGGCCTCGGCCTCTACCCATTTCGTAAAGTAGTCGGTTATTACGAGGAGGAATACCTCTTTCCCCGGTGCCATTGGGAATTTTCCAACGATTTCCATGCCCCATTTTTGGAAGGGCCAGGGAGAGCTTAAGGATTTCAGGTTCTCCGGAGGGAGGTTGGAGATCGGGGCGTGCCTCTGGCATTGATCGCAGGGCCTAGCTTTTCTGAGGGCGTCATTGGCCATCGTGGGCCAGTAATAGCCAGCTCTTCTGGCTCTGAGCACTAGGCTTCGGCTGCTGGAGTGGGAGCCACATTCTCCTTCATGGAGCTCTTCTAGGACCCGGGCCGCTTCCCTGGGGGTAAGACATCGCAGGTATGGTCCTGAAGAGGACCTTCAGTTTTATTTTCCTTTGGTGACACAGTATCTTGCAGCTTGCGTCTTTATCTTTCGGTTTTCGCTTCGATCCTCGGGGAGGAGGTTGCGTACAAGGTAGTCGATTATATGGGTCATCCAGGTTTCTCCTTCGTCGATGACGGAGATTTCTTCGGGATCCCCTTCTCTGTCTGTTGCCGGCCACTGGAGAACCAGCAGGGGAATATTCATCTGGCTAGTGGTTTCTAGGGTGGACCCTAGGTTAGCCAGGGCATCAACTTGCAAGTTTTGTCCTCTGGGAACTTGGGTAAGCTTACAGCTCTGGAGTCTTTTGATCAGGCGCTTTGCAACGGCGAGGTATCTGATCATACTAGCGTCCTTGGCCTGGTAATCACCTTGGACCTGGCTGATGATTAGTTGGGAGTCGCTGAAGACTTTGATCTCCTCTGCTCCCATTTGCTTAATGAATGAGAGGCCTGCAATTAAGGCCTCATACTCGGCTTCATTATTTGTAGTTTTGAAGTTGCATCTTGTTGCTCTTGATGCCAACTCGCTAGTGGGGGAGGTTAAGACCAGGCCTACCCTTGCCCCTCTCACGTTGCTGCAACCGTCGACATGTAGAGTCCATTCTCCTATTCCTCCTGCCGAACCCTGGAACTCAACCTCTGACTCCGGGATCGGAAGCGTAGAAGGTGAGAATTTGGCGATGAAGTCAGCGAGGACCTATGACTTGATGGCCGTAGCAGGTTTGAATATTATATCGTATTCCCCGAGCTCAATCGCCCACTTTGCGAGGCGTCCTGATATCTTGGGCTTGTGGAGAACGGCTTTTATGGGGAATGAAGTGATTACCAAGACATGGTGGGCTAGGAAGTAGGACTGGAGCTTGCGGGCCGCCGTAACCAATGCTAGTGCTAGCTTTTCGAGATGGCTGTAGCAAGTTTCTGCGTCCAACAAGGACTTGCTCACGTAGTAGACAAAGTGTTGTCTCCATCCCTCTTCTCTCACAAGGATGCCGCTTACTGCATGCTCGGATACAGCAAGGTAGAGTAGAATGGTTTCTCCGTCTAGGGGTTTGGAGAGGAGAGGAGGTGTATCGTTGAGAACGAGTTTGCACTTGTCATTCCACTGGAAATCCTTGGGATCTTTCAGGGCCTCAAAGAAGGCGTGAGATTTATCGGACAGCCTGGAGATGAACCTGCTTAATGCAGCCATCTGGCCCGTTAACCGTTGGACTTCCTTTATGTTTCGCGGGGAAGGGATCGTCTGGATGGCTCGCACCTGTTTCGGATTGGCCTCGATGCCCCTATAAGTAACTATGTATCCCAGGAATTTTCCGGAGTTGACCCCGAACAAACACTTTGAGGGGTTGAGCTTCATTTTGTACTTCCTGAGGGTGACGAAGGCTTGTTGTAGATGGGAGATGTGGTCTTCTGCCTCGAGGGATTTGACCAACATGTCATCTATGTAGACAGACTTCTATGGTCTGTCCGATCTGTTCGGCAAACATCATGTTTACGAGTCTTTGGTATGTAGATCATGCGTTTTTCAGGCCGAAAGGCATGACTTTGTAGCAATAAATGCCTGTACGGGTCATGAAGGAGGTCTTCTCTTGGTCGTCCGGATGCATGAGGATTTGGTTATAACCCGAGAAGGCATCCATGAAACTCATGAGCCTGGTGGCCTGCAGTGGCGTCGACAAACTTGTCGATATTAGGTAGGGGAAAAGGATCTTTGGGGCATGATATGTTGAGGTCGGTGAAGTCAATGCAGACCCTCCATTTCCCATTCTTTTTCCTGACTACGACAACGTTGGCTAGCCACTCAGGGTAATAGACTTCTCTTATGAATCCAGCGTCGAGTAGGTTCTTGACCTCTTTGTTGATTATTTTGTCCCTTTCGGGGGCAAATTTCCTTCTTTTCTGCCGTACAATGGTGAATTGAGGGTCTACCTGCAACTTGTGCATGATAATCTCGGCCCCGTGCATATCCTCATCTGACCAGGCGAAACAGACGAGTTGGAGCGGAGGAAGTCGATTAATCTCTGCCTTAGCCCTGCGGGAAGCTTGGATCCTATCAACAGTCTCCGATCCGGATCTCCTTCCTCCACAGGTATCGCGTCCATCTCTTCCACCTCGGGCTCTTCCGTATGCAAGGCCG